CCCACAAACGTGCAAACAGGTAAGTGTGAAAATGTCCTTTGAAACTATTGTCTAAAAATAGCATGAAGCTGAAAACAAGATGTCCATCAATCTTGGTCAAATATACCATGGTATGTCTAAATAAAACAAATAAAACAAACATTTTGAACAAAATAAACTTTTCCATGAAAGACATTAGTGCTGTTCCATATGAACAGACTCATTCTTATTGACTAAGAGTTGAGACTCAAGAAACCAGATAGTCCCAATGTTATGTAAATTGAAAGGAGGAAGGGAAACTTCCAACTTGCCTTCCTTAAAAAGGCAAGTAAGAACAATAAAATCCAAATCTGTAAGGAGGACATAAAATAAAAATAGATCAATACCACTTGCGATTATTAATGCAAAAATTCTAAACAAAATGCTGGCACAAAGACTACCATCACATGGAGAAAATAATTCAACACGACCAGGTAGGGTTTTTTTTTTTTTAAGATGTATTTATTTATGCATACAAGAACTGGGGTACAGGCCAGAGGTGTGGGGAGGTGGAGGAGTCACCAGTGACAGTGGGCAGATGCACTGAAATGCACTGCTGAGAGGAGCAGGGGAGATGGGAGGTAGGTGTGTGGCACCATGTGGGTCAGCTGCCTTACCCAGGTGTGGGACTCAGGCAGCAGGAGCTGGTGATGGCTCCGTGGCACCGAGATGTCAACCCCTGCGCCACTAGGGAGGCCCATTTTTGACAAATTTGGCAATCACTCCTTTTAAAAATCTTTGAGGAAACGAGACTAGATGAATACTTCTTTGACATTAGAATTTATATATTGTAAGAACCAGCATATGACATAACAGAAATACTCTAGGAGTTCCTATGAACGTCAAAGACAACTCGGGCATGCTTCCGTGTCCATTACAGTTTTACTGGTGGTATTAGCCAACGTAATTAGATGAAACCGTAGAAGCCTTGAATTTAGAAAAGAATTAAGACTATTTGAAGATGAACTGATAGGAGACCCAGAAAACTTCAGAGAACTAATGAAGAAACAAACTCAAAAAAAGAATTTAGAAGACGCAGGATGTGAAATTAAAATGCATCATCAATAACCTTCAGCTACATAGATAAGTGCCAGTTAGAAAATGCACTGGAAGAGAAAACTCCACTTACCAATGGAACATAAAAGGAAAAACACATAAGAGTACAGAGAAGACACGTGGAAAACCTCTGTAAAGAAAATCATAAAAACATGGCGAAACA